TCTAGTAGTTAGATTAAGCTTAGCGCCTTAGTTGTTTGGATGTTTGTTTGGAACTCAGAGATTCCATTTCTTCTAATTATTCCAAGAAAACTCCTAAGCCAATTCTTGAAATTCTTACCTTCTTTTAGAAAGCTTCTGTTTCAAGAAAATCTGTTCGTCTAACCCAAGTTTCGAGGACGAAATTCCAAAATAGCCATTTTCACCCTTCCAAAATTTTTATGAGAAAAATAGTAATTGAATAAACTATTTTGAGTTATATTTTAAATAAATTCAACACCGAGATTGTTCTATTTTAAAAATCCTAAATTCTCGGGTACATTGTGTACCAAAATTTGATCCAAAAGTCAATCTAAGTGAAACCGGAAGAAATCTGAGAAACCTGAACCAAGTGTTCATATAGAAATCATTTTTGAAAAAATGTATTTTGACCCCCAAACTATTTTAAAATATCTTTCTAGACTTTGGTCCATGATGCAAGGTGGACCATAAGCCTTCTACTACCTTGTCTGATATTTTCAAGAAGCAAGCTAAAAGACTACTTTACCCTCCACCAATCATTGGTAATCTTTCTAGGGTTTTGCACCCTATGAAAGCCTCACTATCTCATTGTTTCTCCTGATCTCTTCTTTGCCTCTCCAACCTTGTGTTCTCTGCAAACAAGAAGAACAAAGCAGTAAGGTTTCCAAGTCTCTTTCTCAGCCATCCATTTCCTTTATTCCTTAAGGTTTCATCTCCTTTGCTCCCAATCTCTGAGTTTTCTTTCTCAAGATTAGTTGTGTGGTTTGCTTGGGAGTTTAGGTGGTGAAGGAGGAGCTAACCAAGTAGAGAGGAAGAAGAGATCCACACAGAGAAGAAGAAGAGGAAAAAGCAACAAAGGTATAACCCATGGACTCCCACCTCTTTACTTAGACTCTGTGAAGTCAAGTTTGTTGTTGAAAATGTGTAGAAATACTAGATTATTGATGTGTTTGAGCTATTAAGTGATTTATTATTGATCTAATATGTGTTGTTGAGGATTTGGGAGTGTTGGATTGTCCAAAAACTTGTTGCAAGTGAAGAAGAACTCCTCTGGTGTACATTGTCTGTGCACCAGACTAGCTCACGGAGCTAACCAACGGCCCTAGGCAGGTACCGTTGGCAAGCCCCGTAGAGGAGCAGCCCTAGGGCATGGCTCACAGCTAGAGTCATGGCCCTAGGCCGCCGCTTGACGTCCAAGCGGTGGGGCTCCTCAAGCCCCGCCAGGCCAATCCAGTGCAGTGGTCGGGCCCTTTGTGGCTCAACTATGTGTCGTTCGAACCGGGACTCGCGGGCCCTTGAGGTTCGGACACTCGGGGTCGTTACGACGCACTAGTAGAATTTGACTTCGTTGAATTTGGAGTTGAAATGAGTAAATTTCAATAGATTTTGTGTTTGAGAAATGCCATTGATGTGCACTGTGTAGTATTTACAGAGAAGGAAAATGTGAAATATTTAGACTTAGCTATTTGAATGAGAATCATGACAATTATTTGATTGTTGGATTAAGAAGCATGATCATTATTTGCCAAGTTTGCTTGATTAGCATGTTTAAATAACTATTGTGAGTTATTGAGAATTTTGTCAAGAATATGAGATATTTGGTGGTACAGTGCATGAACTTATTTGTCCAGTAAAATGAAATATTAGAGCATGATGTTTATTTTGAGTTCAAAGAGCATGATCAATACTTGATAAGTATTTGCTAAGAAGTTTTGATATCTATGAAGTGATAAGCATGAAATAACACATTGTTGGCTTAATGCATAGTCAAAGAGAATTTGAGATATTCTTTACAGTAAAAGAGCATGTTTAGTATATCATGAACTAAGTGCAGTAGCGGCTCTAAGTGAGCCTAAGTATTCTTTCAAAAACCTATATCTATTTTGGAAAATCATTATCTAGTTGCATTGAGAAGTTGCATGACACTTGATTTCCAAATTGTGAGAAAAGAAAAGTTGTTGAGAAGCTATGTGCATAAGTTTGCATAAGTAAAGTTGTTACATGAGATTGAAATGCATGAGTTATATCTATATGTATCTAGTGTGAGTAATCCGAGGTTTTTGAGACCCATTAGGACTATGTCCTTTCGAAAGAAAAGAGAAAGTAAAGAAAGAAACTGACATTGCGATCCGATGTGAAGTAACGAGGTCGATATTCCCGAGTTACTAGGTAGGATACTACCCGTCGGGCTCGGAATCCCGGTTAGGGGGTGTGCACACTAACAAGTACGATGCATGATTCCACAGTGTTTGAGAAAAGAACCAAGAGAGTTGTTTTGTGGGCGAGATGAGTATTAGGCCGGCTAGATGCCGAGCCCAGATAGGTCCGTTCACATTATGATGAAGTTCCTACCTCGCTCACGAGTAAAAGTAAAGAAAGAAAGACAGCGAGTCATTGTGACTCTAGAGAAAGAATAGAAAAGCGAGTCTGTGTGACTCAAGTGAAAGAAGAGAAAAACGAGTCATTGTGACTCTAAGAAACCTCTGTCGAACAAGTGTTCCTTGTTACCAAAGAAAGAGTTATATGTATATCTATCTATACTTATACTAAAGCATCATGTTCATTTTATTGCATTATTAAATGATTTGCACGTATTGCATGAAAGAATGAGAAGAAGCATCACTTTACATTGCCATTTATCCATTATTTGATAGCATGAGATTGCTTATTAAGATATATGATAGCATGAGACTGCTTATTGAGATATATGATATCATGGAATTGCTTATTGAGATATACGATAGCATGAGATTGTTTATTAAGTTATTTGATAGCATGAGATTGCTTATTGAGATATATGATAACATGAGATTGTTTATTGAGTTATTTGATAGCATGGGATTACTTATTGAGATATATAATAGCATGAGATTGCTTATTGAGATATATGATAGCATGAGATTGTTTATTGAGATATATGTTAGCATGATATTGCTTATTGAGATATATGATAGCATGAGATTGTTTATTGAGATATATGTTAGCATGATATTGCTTATTGAGATATATGATTGCATGAGATTGCTTATTGAGATATATGATAGCATGCGATTGCTTATTGAGATATATGATAGCATGAGATTGCTTATTGAGATATATGATAACATGAGATTGCTTATTGAGATATATGATAGCATGAGATTGTTTATTGAGTTATTTGATAGCATGAGATTGCTTATTGAGATATATGATGATATGAGATTGTTTATTGAGATATATGATAGCATGAGATTGCTTATTGAGATATATGATTATACGAGATTGTTTATTGAGATATATGATAGTATGAGATTGCTTGTTGAGTATCTAGTATCTCTTTACCCATCAGTTTGAGCATGATTAGTGTATTTCGCCATGATAAGTTATATATGAGAAAGCATGAGATTGTTGATGAGTTGGATGATTGAGAAAGTGTGCCTATTTGATAATTAGGTTGCAAGCATTAGGGGTGTAAACGAGCCGAGCCGAGCCCGAGCCTGGGTAGGCTCATGCTCGTGCTCGTTAATGATAGCACTGCTCGAGCTCGAGCTCGTGAACTGATGCTCGAGCTCGAGCTCAAATTCGAGCCTGAACTTGAGCTCGAGTTCAGGCTCGAATTCAAGCTCGAGTTTAGGCTCAAATTTGAGCTCAATTTTGATCTCGAATTTGACCTGTTTGATTTAAAATTTAAACTACTTTGTTTTATGACTTTTATCTATACATAATTATTAAAGTATCTTAATTTTCCTCCCCTAATTATTATTTTTATATACTAAATATAATATAATTATATTATATATTATATATCATATAATATATTATAATGCTCGCGAGCGGCTCGTCGAGCCGCGAGCCTACAATACCTAAGCTCGGCTCGTGCTCGTTTAATCCACGAGCTGCTCGAGCTCGAGCCGAGCTCGATTTTGACCGAGTTCGAGCCGAGCGTTGACCGAACCGCTCACGAGTGACTCGCGAACGGCTCGGCTCATTTACACCCCTAGCAAGCATATAGGTTTTCTGTTGAGTATGTTTAAGTGTTGTTAAAGTGATTGAGAATACATGATCTAAGTGTGTGAAATAAATGTTTTCCAAAAGTATATGCTATAGTAGTTTACAGAGTTGAGTGGCGTTATACTTAGCTTCGTGCTAACAAGTTGTTTTTCTATTTGCTTGTTTGTTAACCCCTTTCAGGTGGGCCCAGTTCTTGAGAGCGATCGAGTTAGACTAGCTTAGCTTAGAGTGCTAGTTGTAGTCTAAACTCTTATCAATTTTTTTTTTAGACTTGGTTGTAGACTTATCTAGATGTTTTGATGGTGTTGGACACCGGGGTGTTATCCCGCTAGTTTGTTTAAAGTTAGTTAAGCTTGACTTGTTTAGATGTTTCCTTGCCTGTGCAATCACCGTATGTGGTGATTGTGGCGGTGACACCTCTTAAAGTTGATTAGTAAGTTTATGATGCTTGTTTAGTATTCTTTTCTAAGTTAAGTATTGTTAATAAGGTTTAAAAAAAGTGGGGTTACAATGATTCCCTTCTCAGTCTCTATGAGACTCTCTTTATATATACCTGTAATCTGCACATTTGTAATGATCTTATTTAATACAATTATTACAGTTCTCATCCTCACCATTTATCAGGGTCAAATTGTCCGTTGTATAAGTAATAATAATAATAATAATAATAATAATAATAATAATAATAATAATAATAATTATTATTATTATTATTATTATTATTATTATTATTATTATTATTATTATTATTATTATTATTATTATTATTATTATTATTATTATTATTATTATTATTATTATTATCCGAATCAACAAGAAAAATATGAAGTGTCATTTAGGTCTAATTGCATCTATTCTCAAGGTTCAAAATTTATTTGATGTTTTCTTTTCTAAATTTGAAAGCTTAATTATATTTTTTGGACAAGTTAGATGTATATTTGACCCTTATCCCTTTTAATTTCTATACATAGTGAGAATATAAAAGCTGTGTGGAAGACAACACTCGTCCTCCTCTAGGTGGGATTTTCATTTCACGGGCCTCTGCTCTCTCCTTTCTTATATCATCATCGTCTCCTCTGGTTCACTGATTCCTTTGGCTTCTTCAATTTTCTTGATAATTAATTGAGATTTATCAGTAACCATGGATGCTGATTCTTGGGCCGCTCGTCTATCTTCTACTTCCAGGCGCTATCAATCCGCTTCCCAGTCTCGATCTGGTAAGTTTCTTTTTCATTTCTTTCCTTATTTTTTCGGTGAAATTTTTATCTCCTGGAGTTTTCCCTTTTTCGTTTTGAATACCTTTGAACGTATGTTTTCTCCCTTTTCCCCTTTGGGTTTTTGGATGAAATGAAATGTTATCTGGGAATTTTTAATTTTAATTTTAATTTTAAATTTATGCCTCTTAAGTTTCTCCAAATGCTAAAGATGAGGTTTTTGATGCGATTCGTGTGTGCCGGTATTGTGGTAGGGATGAGATGGGAGGGTATCGATGCGGAAATGTTGATAGGTTTCGAAGAAATCGACATGGTAGATGATGATGTGAGAGAGGAGTTTCCATGCCCGTTTTGTTCCGAATATTACGATATCGTTGGATTATGCTGCCATATTGATGATGAGCACCCTGTTGAGGCCAAGAACGGGGTATTTCTTTCTCTTGTTCAATTAGATCATTGGCTTTTTACTTAAAAAAAAAATGGGAAAAATTTCCCAATTTTCTTACTTTAGTTGATTATGCAAAGTTTATGATTGCTTTATGTGCTGATCTACTGGAAATGCCTGGTTATTCTGTAAATTTGAAGGGATAATTTGTTAACCGATTCATTCCTAGGCTTGAAATAGTACTATGTAAATAAGTATATAACCATCTTCCTCACGAGCCACTGTCATATGGTAATTGCTTACTTTAAATGTTGGCAGTTGTATGCAAAGCCTGCAACGTTTTGTTGTTTCTGGGTGCTAGAGAAAAGTTAAGATGAAATTCCCATTTGCACTATAAATTCAAAGCACTAACTGAACTTACCATGTTCTTAGTTTATTAATGGCTTTTGTGCACTAGATAGTTATAACCGTTGTGTGCTAGGTCTGATTTATTTTCTTTATTAATTAAAGAGGAAAGGGGTGTGAGTTTTTTCCCGAGCTTCTGTATCTACGTGTAGATTTAAGTTCAAGATTCTCCTTCTTTGTATTGTTGTTTCCAGTGTTCGAGAGGTGTTAAAGATTTCTTGAAGTATTAATGCTCAGTTGCTCTCAACGAATTCTCCTCTTTACAGGTGTGTCCAGTTTGCGAAATGAGGGTGGGGGTTGATATGGTTGCACACATAACATTGCAGCATGGGAATATCTTCAAGATATCCTTTTTCTAATCTGCTATTTTTTTTTTTTTTTTTCTTTTTGCTATAGCTATTTTGTGTTGCCTTTTGATGCCTATTCCCCTTATTCATTCATTCCACACGCAAGTGCCGTGTTGAGATGATAGTTTATAAAGCCAGAGTGTGGCATGGCTGAAGAGTAGCGTCACCTCCATTTATTTAGGAACCTCTATCTCTTGGAATTTGCTCTTTGATCCTGTTAAGAGTCCCAGATTGAAAAATAAGAGAGAACATATGGGTTTATAAAACCATGGGTTAGACTAAGTAACATATGATTTAGTCTTTTAGTGTGGTTTGGCCCATGTGCATTCTAGGAATCTTGATATACTTGTTAAGGATTCAAGATCAATGTGCACACATTTATGATGCATATTGGCCACTAGATTGGAATTTCTCACGCTATAAAATCTTATAATATAATATCCTATAAGTAAACAATACGACAATGACTCTGCTGTGAGCTCCTTGACTCGAGTTTACATGCAGCGCAAGAGGAAATCACGCAAAGGGGGTTCTCATTCGACACTTTCACTGCTAAGGAGGAAACTGCGAGAAGGAAATTTACAGTCTCTCTTAGGAGGGTCTTCCTTTATAGCTCCTTCGAGTAGTGCTGCACCTGACCCATTACTGTCATCGTTTATTTTGCCTATGGCTGATGATTTTGGGAGTGCTCAGCCACGCTCTTCTGCTGAAGCCATCTCAGCTATGAAGAGCACTCCAGAAAACGTATCTGAAAGGTATGTTCATACATTTCTCTTCCTTCACCAACTTCTTTCCAGTCTCTTCATCTGACAGGTTGTCTTTAGTTTGACTTGTTATCTGGTGACAGGAACCGAGTATTATGGGTTTTATATTAGCTTATGGTATGCTTGCAATGGATTTAATTGTTGTCGTAGTTTTTAGTCTTTTTGGATGATACAAAAAAATAAACCTCTAAACTACCCGAGGGTGTGCACTGGGTAAACTTCGCCTTGTGATCCTAGCCGACAAAGGACCACAAGGAGGTAAACCAACCTCGGTTGCCCATAACTGACCGGCTCAAACCAAGAGGGCTGGAATTCGAACTGGTGACCTTGTGATTACAAGTTTGTATCCTTAGCCATCTCGGCTGGGGTCACCACCATCAATGCTTTTCTTGATATCTTCTTCGGTTGATCCTAAACAGAAGCAGGGGGAAGTTCTTAAAGCTAATATGCAATGGGTATTGCTTTTTCTGAATATTTTTGTAGAAAACAACCTCCATTGTCAATTAAGGATAAAGAGGAGAGGACAAAGAGGAGCGAGTTTGTTCAAGGACTGCTGTTGTCCACAATTCTCGACGATAACTTGTGAAGGGACCTGCCATTGGCGCACTCATGGACACACTCGAATTCACGGATAATGGCCGCATGTTGAGTGGTTTGCCTAGTCGTTCTGATGTATGAAAATCCAACCATGGAATAAGATGTAGTTACAAGTGTTTTGTGTCTCTCTAGTAGAATAGTTGTTAGGTTTCCAACTCCTGTATTCCTTTCCAAATATAAGTTAATGCTTTGACTATATACATATATATATAATTAAAAGTAGCTTGCCCAATTATTGGTTGAGTTTGTGTTTGGGACAGGCTACAGGGTAGTGCAATAAGTGTATCTTTACCCTATCCAACATGTTTTCTTTGTTTATCTCATGATTTTAAATTATTATTTTTGGTATATATAATAATGGCAGAGATAAAATAGTGAAATTTAAACTCGAGTTTATTGATTAACCTAACATCCCTTGTTGCAAGTAGGGGCACTTTAGCCCTTTAACCTAAGTGAATAAATGGCAAAGATTGTTTTCCACTAAAAGAAGGAAAATGTAGGGATGGCAACGGGGCAGGGGTAGGGGCAGGGTACTTTCCGTCTCCAAAACCCCGACCCCCGCCACGGTGGAGAATTAAAAATAATTCCCATCGTTTTTAATGGGAAATTACATACAATTTCCGTTCCCCTTTTTTGAAATTTTTTTCCATTCCCATCTCCAATAGGGCAAGGATTGGGGATCTCCGTCTGGGACGGGACAAATTGACATCCCTAAGAAAATGTGATAACATTCTTTAGGAGTAAAATTTTCGTCACATATAAAAAAACGTAGGAATAAATACTTATTTCATTTTTATTTTCCTGAATTGATCATGCTACATCAGTATAAGACTTCAAAAGTAAGAGTAAAAGAAAGAATTGCAGTATGGAATTTTGAAGAGCCAATCCTGAACTAATTACCAGTATTATTCCTTCCAAATGAACATTTTAAGAATACAATATAGGAGCTCTGAACCATAGTAGGGGTTTGATTGTTTTTTCAACTGCCCCCTCAAATGGTTGGATCTTCTAGCGAAAACATTCTCAATCTGTGGTGAAGCAGTTATACTATCCTGTAACTATTCCAGGAAAATGGTTAAAGTTGATAAAGGTGCTAACTCTCTTCATAGACCCACACTAGCCATTGTCTCTAGTTCTACTGTCTACCTGTCTCGTTCTGTTACTAAGAAATTGATTTATTCGACGATGTATTCTTCTCCTGTCTGAAACTGTGGAAGCCACAGATCCTGAAGCTGGAGAAGCAGCCTGACTATCTCTGGGAGATGGAGTGTAGTGAACTTGGGCTAATGGTGTATCAGGCACATAGATCTCGTTTAAGTCAAAAGTATCTCTCGTGTTGGCTATAGGTGGCGATCTGACAGAAAAGCTGTTGACTCTTCTACTCTCAGGTGTACGATTTGAATTTTGTGGGTTTGGGAAACCAGGAGATGATGATCTACAGCCTTCACAGTACCAATTACCTTCAGGTACTTCGTGTCCAAGGCCAACACAATAAGTATGTGAAGGCGAATCACAGATATCACAAAGTAGCATAAGAGCATCATCCCCACCTTGTTGACATTCAGTACAAATGACATTCGCATATGGATCAAGATAACCCCTAAGCTCTTCTTCAGATGGTTCATAAACCTTCACACAACCACGTTAAAAACATAATGATGTTAATTTAGCTTGCAACAAAAAAAAAAAATGGAAATGATTGAACAAGAAAATTGGAAATGATTGAAGTATTGAACTGACCTGATCACGTTCAAGAACTTGAATCACCACAGGTCTCAAATCAAAGCCAGCACTTGATTTTGCAGGCTTACTGATTGTTACAAATCTTTGCTTGCAGAGGGGACAACGAGATTCTACCTTTGACCACTCCATGATGCAAGCAAAACAGAAGTAGTGGCTGCAGCAATTCAAAGTTCCACGGATAGTCTTCTTCCCTTCTTCAGACAAACAAATTCCACATATCTGCTTTCCTGATTCAGTCTTCACCTCCTCTACCTTCTCCTTGTCCTTTCTTAGTGAACGCTTCTTTTGAAGTCGTTGAGTTTTTTCTTCTGGTAAATTCTTTAAAAAAGCTGGTCTCCTCAAGCTAGCTGTCAAGCCTCTACAAAATTTACTTGCTTCTCTGACTTGTTCTCTCTCTTCTTCAGATATAGTGTATTCAAGGTCTGATGACTCAGAAGTCACAAAATCTGAATCAGAATCTATTATTCTTCTTCTCTTCCTTCTCCCTACTCCAATACTCTTCCTAGTCTTCTTTTCCGTTGTGTTTATGTTCATGGACTCCCCATCACCATCATCAAATCTTGCTTTTCTTTTTACCCTACGCTTCTTTCTTCGTTTCTTCCCTGTGGTCTTCTTTGAAACTCTAGAGATTTTCTTCCTAGAGTTTTTCTTCCTTGTTTTTTTCTTTGAGACTTCAGAGATTCTCTTCCTCTGCGTCCCTTTGCCATTGCCCTTTCTCAATTGTGGCTTGCACAATTTCTTTTTCCTTCTTGTCATGGGCAACTCATCTTCATCATCACCTGCACCATCAATCTCATCTGGGGTAAATTCCCTGTCATCATCATCATCATCATCATCATCATCAATGTCAGTATCTTCTTCTCTGTAAACAACCTGTTTCCTTTTTCTTCGTTTTACAACCCGGTTGATCCCATATGGGGCAAATTCCTCATCATCATCATCATCATCACAAATATCATTGTCATCATCTTCTCCTCTGTACGCAAGTCTCTTCCTTTTTCTTTGTTTTACAACTCCATTTTTCTGTCTCTTTGGTGCTTTAGGTCTGACATCATTCTTTTTAACAACCTTTTTCACCACCCTACTGTCCATCTCTTCCACCTCCTTCTCCTCTTCCTTATCTTCGTACTCACCTAAACTCTCTTCTGATGTATCCCCAAGAAAAGAAGAGTATCCATCCTCTGACTCATCAAACACCTCATTTTCACAGACCTTGTAATCCTCATCTGACTGTTCATAACCTTCATAATCAGATCTAGCCTTCCTTCCACGATAAGCATAGTGCCTACCCTTGCCTCGCCTTGCCATCTTTACACACACCCCCCAAAAAAAATCTAAACGCCACCCACTAGCTGATTGAGATCAAAGTATCAAACCATCACAGGTCATAGCTCATGGCCTAATGAAAGCTGTAGAATCAATCATCCTGCACAAATATAAGCTTCTTATTTGTTTTTCGCATAGAAGTTCTCTCATGAATATCCATATCTGTAATAGTTTTAAGTAAACTTTTAAGTATTTGATATGGACAACCAGGCTCACATCATGGAGAGGAAACACTGGGATTTTTGTTGAGATCCCAAACTCCCTGTTTTCTTTAAAATTTCTGCTTGTATATTATTGATTGAAGATGCCCTTTATATAGGCTAACATAATGACTCCTAATCTAATATAATGACTTCGAATCTAACTGAAACTAAGCTAATCTATGAGTTCTAATCAAACCAAACTATTCTATTATGACAATGGAATGAAATCTCAAGATTGAGGTATGTTGCTCGACCTCAATTTATTCGCAATAATTTCAATTTATGAATGTGAAAAGTCAATCATTCGGCGAGAATTACAATCAAAAGGACATAAGATGCAATTCATTCAAATTCAAATCAAATCCAATACCAGGACTAAAGATATAACAATTCAAACAAAACCCTAGATCAAGATTTCCTCAGCATATGATCAAGCTAAATTTCCACAACTACTCTTAAAACTCTATACTACAATTACAATTTAACGAAAAATAGAAGCAAAAACTGTCAAGAATTGGTAAGAATAATAGCATCAGGTAATTTCTTAATTCTTACTTCCAAATTCAAAACACTAAAACCATAGAAGAACATAACAGTACCTTGGAGAGCGAGAAAGAACCCAAACGGAGATTTGCAGCTCTGTTTTATACAATTAGTCAATTACAAACACATATATAGACAATTTGAATGCATGCAGCGGTGTAAGTTTCAAATATTTAAATAAAAAGATATATATTGGCGCTGTTTGGTAAAAAATAGGCCAATTTTAACCTGTTCATATACTTTCTCAACCTACTGAAATACAAAGAGCTAATAACGCCTCCACTGAGGCTCGAACTTACAACCTTCCAAATGGAAGTCCAACCCGGGTACCATTAGACCACATAGTCCTGATCTAACCTGAGCTAATTGTTTGATTTAGTTAAAATATCAATATAAATGTTTGGTTAATTAGTTTTTTGCAACTTCAAAAGGCTAAAATTCAAAAAGCTACTTCAAACAACTTTTTCAATTAGCTTTTTGAGAAAAGAAATTATATCAAACAGTTATCAGCTAATAGCTAATTTACCAAACACTTTTCTACAATCAGCTAATGTTATCAACTATTTATACTCTCTAATTAACACAATCAGCTAACAACTAACAACTATCAGCTAACAGCCATTTACCAAACAGGGTCATTGTCTTTCTGTAGTGTAAATATTGTTTCATTATTTTCTAAAATGATACATATATTGTCTTTTTTTTGTATAGTATGAGAGGAGTAATATATTTACCGTTTTAAAAGTTGAAAGACAATACTTATATTACATGTAACATTGATAATTAATATATTATAGAGCAAATTAAAAGTTTTTCTATAATAAATAAATATACTCCTTAAATGTTGGTGCGGCACTGCGGTGATGCAGCGATACTAATAATAGAGTAGAAGGCGAAATACCCACCAAAAAAGAAAAGAGTAGAAGGCGAAACCTGAAATTGCATGATTACCCCTGCTATGGCAGTCACAGATTCAACTGCAACTTGCCGACTACTTTGAGTAGTTGGGTCAGTTGGGAATTGGGATTTATAATTAATGTGAACTCTTTTTTTTTTCCTAACGTGATAGAACATCTTTATTTTTATATTTTTACACATAAATTTTAGGTTTTATTATTGATGGAGTCTTGGGTGTCGGGACCATTAAATCTACATCTACATTTACATCTATCTATCTACAATTCTAATAAGAGCCCATAATATTAGGCCCTTATTTGAAACCAAAAAAAAAATGTCGGTATTATTGTTTTTTTTAAAATGAATGGTTTATATTATTTTGATTTTAATTTTTTTTAATGATTTTCGTTACTTACTCTTTATTATATTATTTTCTTTCCTTAAATAACCTAAATTCCGTTAGTATAAACTTTAATAACGAAATATTCCGTTAACTATTTATTATTTTTAACTTACTCAT